AATATGAACTAACAACATTCCACCCAATTCTTCCTTGAGTCAAATGATCCAAAGTACCAATTCTCTTCACAAAATGATATGGAGCTTCACTTATAGTTGAGAAAGTAACACCAAAACTTAAATTCTTGGTCACGGCAGCCATGGCACTAATAACCGCACTTGGTTCATTCACCGGGAATTGGGCACCTGATTTAGCAGCAGCAGTTATGTTGTGGGGACCATTATAGACATCATATCCACCAAGAACATCGGCAAGGAAAATAGAGTTAAATTTCCCTTTTTCGACTAATTTTGCAAGATTGGTCCAATATTCAATGGTGTTGTAATTACGGGAATTGTCCCTTGGATGTTTCCAGAGACCAGGAGCTTGAAGACCACTACAACCCATTTCAAAGGCATTGAGGATAAGTTTTTTCTTTTCTGATTTTTTTTGAGAATCTTGATGAGCCATTGTAGTTGTGTTCTGAATGTATAATTATATGCCAAGAAGAAAAGAGAAAAGACTTTAGGCGGATAGGGTTGTCTTTATAGTGAAAATTTTTATTTGTTGCAAAACTGTGGCCAGTGAATCTGGTTAAATCATCGATAAAAATTGTGGCTGCAAATTTAGAAGAATTCGCAACAAATGGAAAATTTATCTTTGTAAGGCACGTGACTGATAACAATAAGAATTTTTTTTGTAGGACAGAACAACCGATGATACAACAATGACATGGTATTAAACAAATTCAACTTAGAAGCAGTCACATCTCTTACATTCGGACATCTTTGGATAAAGTTAGGAAGCATCCATGTGGAAATGTACGTTTTACTAAAAGAAACATAGACATAGTCCATGCCTGCGAATGATTGATACAATTACTATATTTGGTATATGAGATCTGGTAATGTCGACCATTACCAAATCAGTCGTTGTCCAATTATCTGTATCTAACAGCAATTACAGGAGACACTAAAAAATTGCAAAAAATATCAACAAGAAAACCTGAGCTGGATAGCAAAAAGAATTCAAATCAACAGTAAATCTATGTGAGTGAGGCTTTAAGGCTCCTACACTTAATCTTGATAAACGAGGGTAAGTAAACGCGATGCTACCTAGACCAAGTGCCTGTTTGGAAAAAAAATAGATCAAAATTGGATTATGTACCCGTTATCTCCAAACCCCACCTAAGTTCCAATTATATCCTGTTAGCAAGGGTGAATTTTATTGAATGGAAATTGCGACATTTTTTGCAACCAATAACTTACACAAATAAAAAAGCGCAAATTTTATCACTTGCCACAAGCTCAATGACTCTTTTATTATTATTTATGCAAAGTCCCACAAGCAACTTTGTGTTTAGACTATGCACATACATATCGGATCGACATATAAGTTGCCTTTGTGTTCAAAATCAAACCTTTTGATCTTCGGGAGACTTGGTGGAGGGAGTTGATTATCGAATCGCTCAGCTAACAGCATAGCCATTACTTTCTGTTTACAAAGCAAATCCTCCGAGCTTGTCCAGCGCCACGTTTCATCACCAGTACAAGCCATTGCCTTCATTTGTAATACACTTATCAGGCTAAACTATAAGAATGTTGCCATGGTAGTGATTGTTTCCTTTCTTTTTGTAGCCTTTTTATCAGAGATAAATAATTGTCAATGAAAAACCTACACAAGTCGATTATGGCAATTGGAATTCTAATTTCCGGAGCATCTTTTATATAATAAAGACCTTTTTGTGTATCACGATTAAAGATAATGGGAAATAAACTCTTCCAATTAATCTCTTAAAATTAGAAAAAACCATAAATTAAATTGAATCTAAATATCATAAATAAATCTAAAAACTACAAATAAATCAAACCTTCAAACCTTCCAACA